AAATCTAAGGGTGACTCATTTCTATTTGGTGAGGCCAGAAGTAGATCTTGTTCCAAGCATTCTAAACTTCTATTATCACCAAAACACTGCTCTAAAGCATTTTTTATCAAAGACCAGCTATTTAATTCTGTTCTACAGCCAACTAAAAGTTGAGCCCTAGCAACTAATTTAGTCTGTACCACTCTCAATAAGTATCTCTTAATCGTTTCTTCAGAAGTGTTGAATGTGTCGAATAGATAATCACATGATGAAATGAAGCTTGGTAGTGTATTGAAATTACCATCAAAATTTGGTATTGTATCTACAAACATGCGTAACATTTGTAAGCTATTTTCTGGGAATGCCATTTCTTCGGATTCTGATTCTGAATCAGTATTATTAATTCTTAAGTTATTTAACTCGTTGATAATGTCTGATAATGACATAAAATCACAACTTTTCAAATAAGATCTCATATACAGGGAAATCAATTTGAATGGGGCGAAAAGGAATTTTGGCTCTTACCTTCTACTCCTAGCTTCTTGGAAGGCGGCAGGCAGAAGCAAGGGGCCAAGTTCTCGCTCTTGGGCTGTGGATTCTCGTTCGTTTCTGTAGGTCGAACGCCGAAGGGACGATACCCACGTTTTCACGAAACCGGTCACGATACCGCGAATTTTCGGAAAACTGCGTTTTGTCCTACTGGTGACTGCGCCAGTTATGTTGCCGAGATGGCCGTTCGGGTTTTTAAAAAAACTTTATTTTTACTTTTACAAGACAATACAATATACTTAATATTTTATAATGGATAGATGTACAATACGTCGAACAAAACGAGTAATGTTTAATGAACGAATGGTCTGGAAAGCATCAAGAACCTCTATTTATCATCTCGGTAAGGATGCTTTCCTCAGCATTTTCTTCTTCCACGTGCATCCTTTTCTGCATCATAACTTATATATAATTTATTTGCTTATAAATTGAACATACAAAACTGCTTACAGTACTTACACAAAATAATATTTCTAATAAGATTCCTGTTGACTGTTTAAGTCAGTATTTTGTGTAAGTACTATATAATAATATAATAAATAATATAAGTAGTAGAACAACATCGATTCTAACTCACTTGGTAACCCATCCATCAGGTTCTGTTCTGTTTGCCCTCTATTTGACCTTGGGCATCTGAAGACTTTGCAGACATGCAAGAAGTGTATCGCCAATGACCAGAGGGTGAGATGTGTCAAAACGTGACGTCATGTATGCATAAAAAAAAAGGCCTAAATACCACGTGACCCACAAAAGTGAGTAGTGATTGCGAAAAGCTTTATGCATATGCAAGAGACAAGCCTCGCCTAGCCAAGCCTAATTTAAATCATCCTCTAGTCATAATAATAATAATACTAATAATAATAATATGGGAAGTAAATGAAACGACGGCGGTAGTGTGATATTGTATTCATTCCAATTTTTGGTTTGAAGCATTAGATATAAGATTCCAATTAAATAATAAATGAACATTTTCTAAAGCACAATGCATATTATTATACAAATGTTTATAACAATGTTTGTACTGGAATATCTTCTTCAGCTTGCGAAGATTTGGGCATCCTATTTCATGTAGATCGGTGATGTGATTAGTGATGAGTCTTTCCAACCATTGTTGTTTTGAGCGTCCCTTGACAAAAATTGGTTCATCGTGGACATTTTCTTTAATGAACGATGTCAATTGTTCATAATGAAGACATGACTCTTCAGAAGGAGATAGATCCCAAGGAATTCCATGTAAATTGTTTACAGTCCAGTTGATATGTGACTGTGTGCTACTGTTGAGCATTGTAAATTCTGCAGGTAGATTAACTAATTTGTGTTGCCAGTATCCCGTTGCAGTATCCATGATAGCAATTTCTTTGCAAATGAAGTTGGATCCACAAGTAAAGCCTTGAACGTCGATAATGATCATTTTTTTTTTGTCTGTTGAATGTCGAATGCAAACGCTGCACAAGAAGACTGTATATGAACTGAGATTATTTGTTAGGTAATATTCTTTTTATGTATCCAGCTGTCATATTTCTTATCGAATCCCAACCATCTGACTTTGATATGGTCTCCCTTTTTTTCCAATATTTTTTCTATAAGATAAACATCAGGATGTTTTATGTTTTACCTTTTGTAGTTGTTCTGTATAAAAGCCTCCTAAAATATGTTGATTTTTTTCATCTTTCAACAAATATGTAATTGGATTAGTTAATGTTACTTTTCGTATTGTGAAAATTTCAGGTGACCAATTTGGTTGATATTTTTTGTCAAAAACACCTCTTATTTTAGAAATGCGTACATGATCACCTACTTTGAATTTTGTTTCCAAGTTTACAATTTTCAAGCGATTATATACAGTAGATAACAGCCTTCTTTCATTCTTCTTTGTGACATCAGCTGGTTTCATTTGAATAGTTCTATGCTTCTTATTGTTATATTGTTCTACCAGCTTTGGTAAAATACTTATCCATTTATAATTTCCCTGCAGACTGAACTCTTTCCACATCATATTTTTTAAAGTTCGATTTACTCTTTCGACAATGGCTGCCTTCTTTTCGCTGAATGTATTGTAGTGATTGATATTATATTTCTTCATTAGGTTTTTAAAATCATTATTGAAAAATTCCAATCCAGCGTCTGTTTGTAGATTCTTAGGTGTTTCTTGTTTTAGTACACTTTCCATAGCTTTTGTTACCACTTTACCTGTTTTATTTTGTAAAGGTAAAGCCCAAACAAATTTCGAAAAACAATTTATCACAACCAGTATATATTTATTGTTTTTATTTTCCCTCGAGTATGGTATCATTTCTACAAGATCTGCTTGGAAAAGATCGTGTAGAGATTTCACAATGGTTTTTTTTTTTTGAAATCCCTGCGTGCAGGCTTATGTAGTTCTTCAACAACTTGGCGTTTTATGTTCGTTTTATGTGTTTTAACCATTATTCAATATATTTACTTTCCCTTAATTCCTCAACTAGCGAATTAATCTCATTACCATGACCTGAGTGACCGGCAGCCTGTGATGCAATCAATAAGCGTAGACGACTTACAAGTTCATTAGGATCATCCCAGTATATATAATCCTTATCATTGCTAGAATATTCCATTGTCGTGGTAATATTTTTATTGTTCATTAATCCTTGGCCCATTTTTAAAGGAGGTGCTATGATTTTTTTATATTTTTGTAGTTTACTCCCATCCAATTGAGTATTAGATCTGTAGTACCTTCTGTGGGCATTAGTTTTATATACAATTTGCCTGTAGGTATTGACATCGTCAGAACTGCAGAAATTCATGTTGGGATATTTTCTAAATAACAATTCGTATAAGCCTTGACTACCCTTGTACCGTTTACCTTTCACATGTATATCAGCACCATTGAAGTCTAGTTTAGAATCACCAATCATAAATTGTTCAATAGTGTCATCCAGCCTGACGCCATACTTATGATCAAATTCTCGATTATTCTTGTCTGCATACATTTCACTAATGTATTTTCTAGGTAACGGGTCCTCATATTGTTCTAAGTATTCAGTAAATGACTTTTCTGCAATATCATCAAATCTGTTTCTATTAGCAACATTATCATTACCCGATCCAGTCGAATCATTGTCTTCATAATCAGAATTTATACCGTCTATGATTGATTTTTTTATGCTGCTTGGTGGATCATCGTCATCATAATCAGAGTTTTCCTCACTGTTAGCGATTGTCCTTGTTCTTGGTGTCACTGATTGAAATGATAATAGTTTTCTTTTACGTGCTTCAGACATAGCTTTAGGAGTTTCCCATGCTGCCCCCCCTTCATTAGATGCGAATAGTTTTGTTTCAGGCCTTATATCAGCTTCAGCTACTGTATAGGAACGTGGTGATGTTGGTGGTGGTGAGGTACCAGGTACCGTGTTGGTATTATTTTGAAGTTTAGATTCGATACTTCTCAAATGTTTTGTAATGGGATTGTACAAGGCTTCTTGTAACATTTCTCCATGTTTCAGTTGATACAATTTTCTTCGAACATTTTGACGCTTCAATATAAGTCTTTCTTTGAGACTTCTTCCAGTTAAAAGTTTTCCCATAGGTGCTAATTAGACTTCGATCAGGTGGTGAACGGCTTGTGATCAGGTGATGATCAGGTTTTCATCAGTTGTCGATCTGTTCTGAACGCATCGGATGAGAATTATCCATATAAATAAAATAATCTATACCCTTTCTATATCGACCGTTGTCAATGTTACAGTCTTTAAATATGACTAAAAAATCATATGAATTTTCCCAACATACAGTGCATATACGTTTAAAATTATCAAATGACATATCTGAACCAACATGATCATTATATATATGTTTTAAGTTTAAATCATCCTGCTTGAAAAGTATAATGATATTGGCATTATCCCTTATTAGATGTTTAGGTATTTTTGCATATGTTTGACACAAGTAGAAAGAATCTATACTGTTATGTCTTCCCATGCTGAAATATTCTCTGATAACATCTTGATTATCGCATGCGACATCATCAAAAATAAATATGGAATTTGGTTTGGCATCTGAAGGGTGTAAAATGTTGTCACTAGCATTGAATGGAAAATATTTTATCCCTTTTATTGGTGTTAATAATTCTGCCAAATATGTATATTTTGGTTGATACAAAGACTTTGAATACACATAAACATTTTCAAATTTTAACCCGTTTCCATGTTCAACTAAATTGATCATAAGATTTGTTTTTCCGCAATTAGAAGGTCCAACTATAATACATCGCAACGTTGAAGGAAACAGCTCGCCATGTTTTTTGATAGACTTATCTTTGAATATATCATTGTTGTCAATATCTAATGTTGTTTTTTGTTTAACAATTTTCATCTTGTTCAAATAGTACTGCACTGCAGCAACAATGAAACTGATTACAGCGCGTGAATGTATTCATTTTTCAAACCATCTCTTAATGATGAAAAGGGGAGGGAAGGGGAGAAATAAAGAAAGGATATTTTTTTTGAAGACGTATTTATTGTTTTAATATTTTACCCAATCTGTTCTTTTTTCTTGGATGCCGGGTCTCGCTTGAAAGCATACAGGACAAAATCTGACAAATACATTCTGTGGTTCCCAGCCATTTACGGCGGTCGCTGATCGTTCATGTATAATTTTTCCACATACACCACATCTGGTTACCTCGATGACGTGTGCTATAGCGTATGTCCAACTTCTCTTTCTTTGGGGTCCTTTTCTCGAATAAAAAGATTTGCCAGGAATCCATCCGCTCTCTTGCCGCCACCGCTCATCAGACATCCTTTCTAGTCGTCCTTTGTTGTTGTTGGTTTAGGACTTGGGCATTTCCTCGTCGCAATACAGTTCCTCGTCGCAATACAGCTCCACTTGTTTGTATTGATGTAGTAGTTGTTGTTGTTGTTGCTGATCTGATGCCGTTTGTCCTATTGAATGCTTTGCCACCGATTCTCTACAAAAACAAAAGTAATGTCCACAATTGTCACAGAACTGAGTTCCTGAGTGAGTGTTATTGTTGTTGTTGTTGTACTGTCTCTTAGAAATAGTCGTTGGTCGAATTCGTTTGTTGGGTTTCGTGTAGTGGATTTTTTGAAATCTTTTTTTTGAACTTAGCACGTTCTACAAAAAACAAAAAAAGAATACATATATACAGGGTGTTCCATAATTATTGCGACAAAATGATAGGGGTTGTAGAGGGCATCAAAATGAACAATTTTGCCTCATAAACCCCTGTTCGGAAATATGCCGTTTGGGCTGCAGCAAAAAAAAATATCAGTTTCTTGAAACAGCTTACCTACAGTAATTGCTCAAAGTGTCCTCCACCTTGCTCAATACACAGCTGTGCACGATTGTTCAATGATCGGCGAACTCTGTGGCATACCCCCGGTATGTCCTGAACATGTGCGGACGCGACCATCACTCTTCCCAGTAGGTCTTGGGAACAGGAGTTTCGTACACTAAAGCTTTCAGATGGCCCCAGAGAAAATAATCCAGTGGGGTCAGGTCGGGGGACCGCGCAGGCCAAGGCACAGGGCCACCTCGGCCTATCCACCTATTTGTCGTCCAAATACTGCCGCACTTGTAAAGAAAAGTGGGCTGGAGCGCCATCGTGTTGAAACCACGTGTTGGCTCTTATGTTCAGTGGCACATTTTCTAATAGTTCCGGTAGCACATGCTGTAAGAATCGACCATAAGCATGCCCATCCAAACGTGGTGGAAGCAAATATGGCCCGATGATATGCTCGTCCACAATGCCGCACCAGATGTTAATTGAAAACTATGTTGGTCTCTATGGATGGCTATGGCATGAGGGTTTTCTTCATCCCAAATGTGACTGTTACGGCTATTAAAATAACCGTCCTTTGTGAAACAGGACTCGTCAGTGAACAAAACGTAGCGACCAAAGTTTGGTTGCCTCAACTCCTGCTGCAGCCACCAACGACAAAAACGTCGACGCGACAGATAGTTTTCTGGACCCATGGCTTGGACTTTTAAAAGGTGGTATGGGTGTAGTTGCTGGTCATGGAGAACCCGCCAAGCAGTAGTTTGAGACGCTCCCATTTCATGTGCAATAGCACGCACGCTTGTACGCGGATTGGCCTCTACATGATGCAGAATCGCTGTCACGAAGACGTCCATGAATCCTTGCAAAAATGGCGTGATGCGGATGAGGACGTTCTGGAAACCGTTGGGCTAGATTCACGAGGCTCGTCTTCCGTTACCACCAGCTTCTCCGTAAATTAAATGCATATCCACAAGTTCCGCATACGAATAACGCTGCATTTTAACACTAAGGTACTGTTATTTACTATCTAGTTTGACGCACCACTCAGATAAATTAAATGAATCGGTGTGGAGAATTTACGATAACAAAAATGTAAACACAGCAGGCATTTTTTTACAAATCGGCGAGACCATGAAATGTGCTAGCCGAACATTTTGCAGCTGTTGAATTTTTTGTTTCTCCTATGAGCTCTTAAGGTAAAATTAGCGGTAGTGCTCAAACGGCATATTTACGAACAGGGGTTTATAAGGCAAAATTGCATATTTTTGCCCTCTACAACCCCTATCATTTTGTCGCAATAATTATGGAACACCCTGTATATATACTTACATTTTATTGTGTGTGGCTAAAGTTAACGTGGTTGTAGATTAATTCTATGGACAAAAACAGACAAAGAGATAATGAAATGTAGTGAAATTAAAAGTAATCATGATATTCCCATGGTTTCGTGTCTGTATAAATATAGTTGACAATTCTTTTATCGTCATATGGACTCAATGCAATTTTTTGTTGGGAAATTGTGAATACATCATGCAATTTCGAAATTATGGACTGTTGGGTTAAAGCTACTTGAGTATTTTGGAATAAACATTTATGGTAATCATCAAACGTTATTTCCTTCAGAGCTGACTTCTGAATTCCTTTAGCTTTTTTAATAACATGCGAGTCTTTTTTTTCACCTGGCTCAGGTAGAAGTCTCAAAGCATACATTTTTGAACACAACCCAATAAAATGTGTCATTATTCGACCTTGATTTTCATCCTTCATTAAACCTAAGACTTTTTTATTTTTCAATGGAATTCTAAAAGCGTTATTTTCTGGATAATCGGATGTATCAAACCTATCAATGTCTTTTTTGATGTGTTCGTAAATGTCATCAATATTTGAAAACTGATATATTAAGCTATCTGTATCAGTATATAGCAATTTTGAATCATCTTTGAATTTGTGTTTTATGTAATTGTAATTAAAATCATATATATAAGTTTTAGATATGTCCAATATTGACATACCTATAAAAATTGGTTTGTTTAATGTAGCTTTCAGTCTGTTCATTTCAATTATGACCATATCTTTACTAAATATAGTGCAGCTATGAAAGTTAGGTTGTGCAATGTAGTATCTTGCACCATATCTTCCTGACCACTTAGTTACCAACTTGATGTCTTTATATTTCCTAACATTTTCAATCGTTTTGCCATAAGGGGAATTATTCATTAATTTGAAAAAAAATTTCTCGAAATCATTCTTACTTTGCTTTCTCAGCTCTGTATTGAGATCAATGTATTTTTTTAACCAAGCTGACTGTTTGAATCTCAAACAACGATGAACTTTTCTGATGACAATACCCAGTTGCGTAGCTTGTTTTAGTAATGTATAATGGACGACATACTTTTGTTTATCGTACAAAGTTGTTAACAATTTTGGTTTATCAGAATACGAAGTAGGTGGTACTAAATGCTCAGGACATATTGGCAGATCTTTGTGTAGATCGCGTAAATGAAGAGGATAATGTAGATCAACTTCTAGGATGTACCCATATTCATTTTTCTCATCGCTCAAAATATTTTCAATAGAGATGTTTTCAATTGGAATCCATTGAAAATCCCCATATGGTAGAGAATGTGACATTGCAGCTCCATATAAGTTATTTATATCGTAGTACATCAAAAACGAAGTTGGTAAATCAGGATTATATTCACTATTCATATATTTATTGTTAGCCTTACCGTACCTGTTAGAACATTGAGATATACCTCCTCTGATACCTTTTTCTATGAACAAAGCCATATCACTGTCAGTCAACAGCTCTATTTCAACATTAGTGACTTTAAGCATAGCATCAAAGGCTAGACCTGGCGTAGTATAATAGTGCAATGCATCTAAATTGTATGTCTGCATACACATTTGACGGAAATTTTCGAAAACATCACAAAGCAGCAAAACATCAGTTTTTAAGTATAATTCAGCGTATTCCTGAAGATCTTTAATGTTAAATGCCTGCCAAACATTTAGTGCATGCTGATAGTCATCAGTCGAAATAGCTTCGTTCTTGACTGTGCTAAAAAAATCGTCTTTTTCTGGCAACTTTGTATCTTTTAATTTCTCCCATGAATTTAGATATTCATAAGGAAAAACCCCCTTCTTTGTTACCAACTTGAACTTAGCATCTTCAGGAAAATGTTCCCTTACTATTTTCTTTTGATGATGATCTAGATATGATGATAATTTATCCAGACTACTAGGTAGGAACCAGAAGGAATCAAGAAATCGAAAACTGATTTTAGTACCGGCAATGGATTTTGTAAACGAAATATAACGCTCTTTATTTAAAGGTAATAAAGTGAGATTGCCCTTGATATCAGTGCTGAGAGCTTTGATTATGAAATGTGCATCGTATCCAGAAAAATTGTGGAACAACACAGGTACAATAAGTGAATTTGAATAGTTCAAGTTGCAAGACATATGTACTGCTCCTCTATATTTACCTGTGAAGTGACAATGATCTCTAGCTTTCACTTCGTGTTCATCAAAAGGTTTCTCACAAATACTACAACTGGAAGCCAATCGGAAAAGTTTCTGCTCAACACTGGTCAGTTTTAATGGTTCTGCTTCCTGATAAACTTTATGAAGTTCATTGGCAATGTTGAGCAATTCATTAACAAACCAACTTTGACAATCAGCACCCGTATGCAATCTAAACTTGGAAGAATATTTATTTCCATAATTCGACTTAAGATAATAAGCTACGCTGAAAGCCACGTGCTTTTGACACTTTTGTGTCTTGCTTGCACTATTATCATCAGCATTATCATTATAATCCATTAGTATACTTTCAATATCTGCATAAATGGTAAAAGGAACACATAATTTATTGTGAAAGTCTTTAAATTTCATAATATTATTAGTTGCATTAGGCATAACGATCTTAGTGCTGTTAAGCTGTTTACAATCTTCAGAATGCTTACTCAAATAAGCTTCACTTGAAAAATAATTTAGACACCTTTCACAAATCCATTTTTTGTGATCTTTCCAACCTATTTGTCTACATATTAGGCGTGACAAATTTTTTATATACGCAAAATGATAAATAGGTCAGCATTCCAATTGCAAACATCATTATTGGAAAACATAAGTAAATTGATTTTTGGCGTGAAATTAGTTTTACTAAGTATCAATGGTACAACTTCATTCATTCGATTGCCTACGAGTGTGAATACATTTATCGCTAGTTTGTTCATAATCTCAAATTTGGGTATATCTTTCAAATGTATAGGAAATCTAATATTGTCGTATTTCAATACTCTACTGAAATGAGGATATGATGATTGTCGTGCTACATTTTTTTCTGCAGGATACAACGCGCTTACAACTGACCACAGAAAGCAGTAATTATCATTATTTTGAATATTGATGACACTTTTTTTCTTTTTTATAAATGTTGGTGTAGGAACATAAGTTGAAACACCAACATTTATGGGACAAAATCTATTAATATTCACTTTCAAATGTAAAATTTCCAACAAAGCCCATCCAGAATCACGTTCTTGGAATTCTTCTAATTTTGTTAAAACTTGATCAGTGACATAAACTTTATACCACTCTTTTAAATTGGTATTTTTATCGATTATATTATTTTTTGTAGCAAAATGTTTGATCGATCTTTCAGCAGTCTGAGGTTTAATGAACACACAATAAAAAACAACGTTACATTTTAACATACAAGTATCAAGCTGTTTTCTTATTTGTATCGCAAAACTTTTGAACGCTCTCTTGAAAAATAATTTTGGATCTTTTATTTTCAAATTAACTATAACGCCTGACTTAATTCTATTGTTAAAGCATGAATCCACATTTTCCCAAACAAGTTCTCTATTTTTGTTTTTACGATTTATTTGACATCTGAAAATTGCAAGGTAACTCTTAAGAAGTGACAAATTAGACTCTATTTTTGAAAAATTTTTAACACAATCATACCTATGTTTGATACAATTATCAAGCATTCTAATACATTTTTTAATCTACTCACATTTCTATTCTTCTAACAAATTCGTCAGACATGGCATCGATTACTTTTTGGCTACTCATTTTGTTTCTTCGGAGATCTGTGCAGATGGTTAAACGTGAGATCACTGATGATAACTGTGCTCAAGATGCTTCCTTAAATACAGTGAAAATCTAACAAACATGCCTATTTTTTTTTTTTCACTGATACTGAATCATACGATTTTGTTTGGAAAACATCCTACGCACATCAGCAGATCACATGGAGAATAACGATGATGACCCTCCTCCTTAAATAGATACTATATTTTGTTTGGATAAACATGCACATCTGCAGAAAAATCTAATTTTTCCCTTGATATGGAGAATGACGTAGATGATGATTACCGTCGTCGTCGTCGTCGTCCTCGTCCTGACATTGGATATCAATTTTGTTTGGAAAAACATGCACACATGCAGAAAAATCTAATTTTTCCCTTGATATGGAGAATGACGTAGATGATGATTACCGTCGTCGTCGTCGTCGTCCTCGTCCTGACATTGGATATCAATTTTGTTTGGAAAGACATGCACACATGCAGAAAAATCTATTTTTTCCCTTGATATGGAGAATGACGTAGATGATGATTACCGTCGTCGTCCTTCTCCTGACATTGGGTATCATGCAATTCTGGAATCCTACGATTTTGTTTGATCATAACATCCATCTTACATTTCTATGCAGTTGATATGGATGATTTTTTCCTCAAATATCTGTATAAATTGCTAGTGTGTGTAGGCAGTCAGTATCAGTTTCAAGTGAAAACTCATCGAACTGCTACTCTAACTTACAATGGCAACAACACCAACAACCATAATTGTGTTCACGGAAGATCCAGTGAATTTACCGATAAATGACCTCTTGTTGGTCATAAAGGAATTATTTCAGTAAGTAACATTATATATTTATCTTTTGTTCTCTCTCTCTCTCCACTGTTTTGCTATTGCTATTGTGTTATTATTATTGTTGTCCTTCCGCACATTATGGTAATGTTGTGGATGGATGGATGGATCATGTTTGAAGACAATCTAAAGCATCCCAAAAGAAATAAAACAATCACCTGGTCTGCCAGTAGATATCAAGTTCTATTCATCATATCCTCAGAGCTAAATTATGTTAAGTCACAAAAGTATTATTGCGAGAAAAACATGAGTTTACAGGGTTTTTTTTTGTATGGTTTTATTTGATTGCAATTGCACGATTTGCAATTGGAGATTTAAATCAGATATTCAACAATAGTTTACTTTTAGGACTAAGATAGACATATTATATTATTCTTATTCTTTTTCTTTTTTCAACAGATACGGTGTCAGAGAGATTAAAGCCAGTGGTGACAAAATATTTGTCAAATTGACCTACTCCCCAAGAGCAGCGACGTTAAAGCGGAAATTCGGCTTGCTGCCTATCAAATATCTTCGAACTAAATTGGATAAAGATGCAGAATTCCAAGTATTAGAACGAATAGTTAAAAAATATAGATTTAATTTATTAGACGAGCAGTTAGAAGATATTAATAGGCAGCAAGCGATAAAGGATCGACCAGGGACAAGTGGTGGTGGTGGTGGTGATGGTGGTGGAAGTATGCAGAAGAAGAGAAAATTGTATCTAGAGCCACCTGTCCTGCAACATGTGGAAGAGGATGAGGAGGATGAGGAGGAGAAGGAGGAAGAGCATGAGGAGCAGCCCAGGCAGATGCATACGGTTGGTGCAACACCATCATCAGCAGCAGCATCAACCTCAACTGGTAGACGTGGTGGTGATGGTGGTGGTTGTGGTGATAATGATGATGATGACATCTTGTTATTATCACAAAATATATTTTGAATAAAAAACTGATTTCTTCACAACTAATGTTTTATTCACAGAAAAACACACACACACACACACACACACACACACACACACACACACATACATACATACACACATACACACTGTTTCTATACAATACAAGTTCAACATATTTTTCAAAAAACTTTTACAGTACTATTTAATGGATTATATTTTA